GTAGGGAAACTGAATCCCCCTCCTCCCTGGAAAGGCTGCACGCAGGTGAGGGTGAGGGATTGTGTAAGAAGGCGGGATAAAGGGTTCGCAGTGTATATTGCAGAAAAGCCAAGAAAAATTATGAATTGAAGCTGGCTGGAGGCATGAACAGCGGTGACTGAGGGTTTGCACCCTCTGCCACCTCCCACCTGGTGGAGATGCTGGATGGATTCCTTCAGCTGTCTGGAGAAGAATGTCTGAAAAGCAGCAAATAAAAGACATAGGACTACAGCAGTACATCTAATAAAACCAGTCGGGGAAATGGTTATATGTGTGCCTCTTTATTCTTTCATTAAATAATAGGATCTAGCGGGGGTTTAATAAGTACATCATTTAGAATTAGAGATGAGCATAAATGTTATCGTAAAGCATCTGCAACAGCTGAGCAGTGATGTGCTCTGAAACTATCTGTGATTTCCCTCGAGGACCTAGTCACAGATACTGCTAATATTCCTGTGGTGGGTTGTTTATACTCCCACTTACAGAAAATGCTAAGTTTCATGTAGAAGTTAATGAAAAGAAAGATACAATTTTTTCCTCTCCAAGACAAAGAACCCCTTACGGTTTAGCTACAGACTCCTTGTTGGGGTCTGTGGACCTCAGGTTAAGAACCCTCAGGGAAAGCTTCAAAGTTCTTTTCAAAATCACTGCAATTCATGACCAGAAATTGGATTCCCAGGCATGGCCAACAAATCCAAGGAATTTTTCCAGCAGCCACAATCAGCGACTTATAGAGACACGGGCGGTCACTCTATATCCCAGAGAAATCCCAGTGGCTACAGGAATCTAGAACCCTCTTCCCCAGCCCCCATGCCCTCTCTGTTTAAGGAACATCTTCAGAGAACCGTCCTTACCTGACTCTCCCCCTCTTTGTCAACATGTGCCACGCCCATCGCCCTGCTGCCATCTGCCACCCCTAATACCCACCTCCTTTACTTTTTTTGAAATGTCAGCATAGTGTCTTTTCTCTGTGTACTTTATCTGGGTCAGCAGCTGAATCAGTCTGAGCACAATGGTAGCCAAAACGACATTGTGAGATCTCAGTTTCATCACATTCACACTTACACATCCAGCCCCAGGGGCCCAAATCCTTGCCACTGAGGGAACCAAGTGAGGGATGTGAATGGATGGGTCTCACATATCAACAAATATTTATTGTGTCCCTACGAGCTAGCCCTGGGTTGCACAGTGGTTGCAAAATGCACCCACATTTTAAGAAATAACTCAACGGCTGGGCACTGGGATGCCTTTATTTGTCAACAATTGCTTATTGGGCACCTCCTAGGTTTCAGACACTGAGTAGGTGCTGGGAATAAATATTGTACAAGTGAGTAGATACGAAAAATCACATCCAACTGTCCCAAGTGCTACAAAAGAATTGGGAAGGAATGGTATGGAGAATGTAATGGGGGCGGGAGGGCTTTGTTACATGTGGCCGTAGACAAAATCCTCCCTGAGGAGGTAAAATCCTAACAGAAAGAGACCTAAAGGATGAGAAGGAGCCATCTGTGTGAAAAGCCAGAGGAAAATGGGAAGGGTTGATGTCTTCAAGAGGGATCAAAAAATCCAGGGAAGCTGAGACGGCCCATGAAGCGGGCACCTGGCATGAGCTTGGCTGGGGAGGTAAACACCTGCCACATCAAGCAGGTGACGAAGTGGAGTGGCGTGGCTAACAGCACGGACTCCAGAACCAGACCAGCTTGACTAGAATCCGGCTCTAAAACTTCTCGAGCTGTGTGGCCTTGGGCAAGTCACTCACCCTCTCTTTAGCTTTTTCAGCTTTAAGTTGGGCTCATCATATATGTCCTTCATTGAGTTGCTAAATGCATTAAGTGTAAAGCACTTAGAACGGAGCCTGGCCCAGAGTACGTGCCAGGCTCCAGTTTGCTGTGTTTGTTCCAAGCTCAGTGAGAAGTTGTGGAGAATCTTAAGCCAGGGAGACGCATGATCTGGTTTGTCTTTAACAGATCATTGGCCATTGCGTGGGCTACCGGTCCTCAGTAAGACAAAGAGTTGGAAGGGACCCCGGAGGTCACTTACACCAACACTGTCCGCAGCGGTTCTCTCTGGGAAGGGGAGGAGACAGTGCCTGAAGAGCCACCACTGTGAAAGGCAGACGAATGGCTGTCCCTGAAGCGTGCCGGATGGGAGAGGAGGTTGAGGACCCAACGTCTGGAGAAGGGCTCATCCAACACTCCCTCCTCCGCCCTGTGCCCGCCTGGAGTGGGTAGCCCACTACTCCCATTTCAGATGGTTCTGGGTCCCACATCCCACTGCCCAGTTGTCTCCTGTTCTTGCCGGTGTCAATGTCACTTTTCTCGGATTGTAAGTGTGTCAAGGACAGCAGCCATTTCCTTCCGCTCTCAATGACTGACACAGGCCCCGAGCAACTGGGTCTGAGCTTTTGAATAATTAACTGGCAAAGGGAAGGTGGAATCACAGCTTTATAGCGCTTCCCCTGGAACTCTAAGCTCTGGAAGGAATCTAGAGGGCCTTGGGAAGTCATTAAGTCACCCCCTGCCCTAGGGCCTGCCTTCCTCCAGTCCTTCCAGCCAGACTTCCTCCCAGGTCTCCAGAGGACATTCTGCACTCGCCACCTTGGGAATGTGTCCTGGAGATCGCAGCCCATGTAGCGCAGTCCTTCCAAACCTTTCCCAGACCCCTTCTGCTGCTCTATACAATGGGGACACCACCCATTTCCTGCCCAGAGAGGCTCTGGGGACAAGCTGATGCATGGGATAGAAGCCCTCCTGTCTCCAGGGGCATCTCCAGACACACCTTCGGGGAGGTCTCAGCTACTCGCTCAGTCTAGCTGGAGCTGAGAGCTGCCAGGACAGGGTGAGGGTCCTGCAGGCCCCTCCATATTCATGTGCCTCTCCAGACCCCAGGCACACCCAGCACAACTGCCCCTCCCCAGCTCCCCCTGCAGCGACAGCGGCCGCCTCCTCTCTGGATTGTGGGGGGTTTCCCCCTTCTCGACTCTGTCAATGCTCTCCCTGTGCCAGCCCGCAGCTGGCCCCCCGTCCTCCCTCTCACAGCTTCCCGGTCTTATCACTCCTCCCAGATCCCCACGCTCGCCTCCCAGCCCCCAGCTCCCCTCCCAGCCCCATTCCCATCCAAGCCCGCTTCCCCATTCCCTCCCATGCCCGCCCCTTTAGCGCTCGCTGTCCCGGATCCTCTCCTGTCCCCCCAACCTCCCCGCCCCCTCCTCCACCCCCAGGCCTTCCGGACCGCCCCCACCCCCCAGGGTCCCCGAGCACGTCCGCCGTCCCCACACCCCGCCATGCTCTATCGCGCAAAGAAGAACGCCGACCATTCCCTGCCACCCACTCCCCCGCCGCCGCCGGGGAGACCCCACCCGGCCTGGGGAGACCAAGGCGCCGCCCCCTCTCACCTGCTGGGACCGGAGCACGCCAGGCTTCGCCTTCTCCGGATCGGGGTCCTGGTCCCGCTGCAGCACCCCCTTCTTGGGGTGCATGTGCCGGCACAGGCAGGTGACCCCGCACAGCGCGAGGATGCTGGTGGCCGTGCCCAGCGTGGCACCCAGAGCGATCACGGGCACCGACAGCACCATGGCGCCCGCTCCCCGCGCGGGGCTCGGTCCCGCCGCCGCGCACCTCCCGGGCCTGGGATCCGGGCGCGCCAGCCGCTCTCCAGCCGCCGGAGGGGCGGGGAGGGAGGGCGGCTCCAGGACGTCAGAGCAGGAGGCTGGACCCGGAGCGAGCTGGTGCGCCCGCACTCAGCTCCGCGTCAACCAGCATCCCTCCCCTCCAGCATGTGACCAGACCCCCGACCCTAACCGGAGCCGGGGCCGTTCAGGTGGAAGGAACGTGAAGGTCGTCTCGGGCCATCCTTCACGCTTTACGTAGAAGGACACTTGGGTCCCAGAAGGGCCGGAGCTGGCCAAGGTCACACTGTGCGTTAGGTTAGCAGGGAAACCGGGGCTCAAAACCAGGCCTGAGACTCCGTCCGGGTAGGGGGTCGTTTTACCAGACTGCTAACCCTTTGTTCACCCTCTCTGGCCGAGGAGGCTGGAAAATCAACAGGAGCTTTTTCAAACACTCAAAGCTGGAGATTTCCTATCTCCCGAGCTTGCCCTGTGTTTACCACCAGGGAGAGGGGCTGTACCGCGTCCTGGTGGAGATGATTGCAATGATTCTTTTCACATCTGCACTTCCTTTAGCCGTGACCCGGTACTCTACCATTATTACCTAATCAGATTTGCAGATATTCTCATCTCCATTTACAGATGAGGAAGCCGGAGGCTCAGAGGGGATGTGGGGCAGCTAGAAAAATCCAGTCATCCTGAACCCAAACTCAGGTATGCAGATTCCAAGTCCACATGCCACCCTCAAGGAAAGGACTTCTCTTAGAATGATAAAAGAGTATCACATGCAGCAGCTAGGAGTACACACGTTGATTCAGAGAGGGGGGGAAATAAGAGTGCTTAGAGTGAGGGGAAATTAGAATTCCAGGCATGAGGAGGACTGTCTTAAATCACAAAACAGGGATTTCCAGTGTTTTTCATTATGCAGGGTTTCATCTAAGTCAGCAAGCATTTGCTGTGAGTCGGCCGTGCTCTAAGCATGCTGGACATGTGTGAGGAGGAGTGGAGGTGATTTCATTTGAAACAGGGCTCTCAACCTCCCGTGAAGCTGATGACTCCCAAATCTATGATCATTCCAACCAAACCTTTTCTGCTGAGCCCGAGACATGACCAGCATCTGGTACCTCCCAGCGTTTATCTATTTCTGCAGAATAAACCCAGGACGTGGTAAATAAACCCAAGAACGATTCTTCTGTGACTTCTCATGTTGACTGGGCTCAGCTGGGCGGTCTTCCTACTCAACTTGATATCTTCTGGGACATCCAAGATGGCATACCTCATGGCAAGCAGTAGGTGCTGGCTGCTGCCCAGAGCACAGCTGGGCTGTGTATTGAGCACTTGGGTTCTCCCCCACGTGGCTGGAGCTTCTCACAGCATGGCAGCCAGGTTCTAAGAGGAAGGAAGCAGAAGCTGC